GTCTTGTATGCCAAGAACTGGATGAATAGATATTGGACATGCAAATTTAAATATAAAATGGTCCCTGGACTCATATTCTGGTAGCTTCTAGTGCAGTGGCAAGGCTTCCATACTCCTGCTTTTAAATGTTTCCTTGTTCCTTTCCCTTTTTCTCACCTAGTCTCTTCCTGCTTCCCACTTTTACAAACTTACCTCTTACTTAAGTTTTGATGTTATATTATTAAATTCACTATAAATTTTCATCACTGTCTGTAAAAGTTATTACTGTAAGTTATTATTAGTATTTCAAATGAAGTTGCACTTTATTCATATTATCCTTTAATTTGATTGTGATGTCTATGTATTCTTTTATCTCTAATCATTTTCAGATCTTTATTTTATATTCTTCTTCAGATTTTTCTATTATTTCCAGTGGCGAGACTACATTCTTCCTCTTTGTTGCATCTGTCAGCTATTCCTTATGGTAGTTCACTTCCTTGTGTAACTCATCATTATTTTAACTGTAAGTCTATCTCTGGCTTTTGTTTCCCTCTTTAGGGGTCCGGATAGCTTCAGAGTGATTTCACACTTACTTGTGCCAAGGCTCTAGGGCAGCCGTGGGCAAACTACGGCCCGCGGGCCGTTGAAATGAATAAAACTAAAAAAAAAAAAAGACCATACCCTTTTATGTAATGATGTTTACTTTGAATTTATATTAGTTCACACAAACACTCCATCCATGCTTTTGTTCTGGCCCTCCGGTCCAGTTTAAGAACCCATTGTGGCCCTCGAGTCAAAAAGTTTGCCCACCCCTGCTCTAGGGTCTCTCCCATGCCTTGGAACAGTTTTTATGATAATTTCTCATCTTGAGTTTTCTAAATCCACAGATACCATTAATTCAAACATCACATCTACAAGGATCTCCCTTTTCGTTGGCCTAAGGCCACTTGCAGACAGCTTGGAACAGACTAACAAATCTCAGAGAGCAGAGAGTGTAGGAATAGATTAATCAAAGAACATATATGCAAAACCCATGGCCACAGACAATAGTGCAGGGAAGGCCTAGGAGGAGGGAGAAGGTGAAGGGGTCAGAGGGTGGGAAAAGGGGAAATCTGTAATACTTTCAACAATAATGATAAATTTTAAAAAATTGGGGAGAGGTAATGCTATATTTTATCCAGACTTTCTATGTATTATGGCAGGAAAGTTTCTTTGATTTACTTCAAAATATTTTAAAACATTTTGAGTACCTATAATATTCCACGCACTGTGCCATTTATAAATTGTCATCATTTGGAACCTATCTACCTCTTCCAAGATGTTTTATTAGAAACAACAAATTAGGAGATGAGATGGCCAGTGCTGCTAGAAACAGGTACAATGACATGGACAAATAGAGCTGAGAACTCATAATAGTAAAGAGGTGAGGAAAAAAGCTAAATGAAACAAAACAAACCATGATGTTCTGGAGTCAAATAGTGTGGGGGAGAAATTCACAAGCAACTCACCTATATCACATAATAACATCATCTTATTACATCACAATGTAATAGCTGATATTCATAGAAATGTCCCTGTTGAGGAATCTTCCCCTAGTGGAAACTCTAGCTGCTGTTGTCATTATGTGTTTAAAGCATTTTGATGTTATGTATCAGACACCTGAAGACTGTGAGAGCTCATGCAACTAGGGCTGTGGAGATAGGGATCATGTGTGACAGTGGTGGAGTAACTCAAATGTGTCACCAGGGGTAACATGAGTGGGAGATGATCTGTCAATGACCATTCAGTAGACTTCAGTTGTATTAATTATATCTGTCCCACATATGAACTGAGAACTAGATGTTTCACATTACCTAGTAACTGGAATTGAGTGGGAGGCCCAATTGGGACACTGGTTTTAAAATGGGAATTGGGGGTGGATAGGGATAGTGCTATAAAAAATAGCCTAAGACAACCTCATGAATTCCAGGGAATATAGGAAAGCTTCCATTAAAGTCTTAGGCTACCAGCAAGCAGGGCTAGTAGCTTAAAGTAATAACAAGAAGCCCAGATTCACCTGAAGCAAGAAGTTGCCTTGGAAATTTGCTCATAACTTCTCTTCAGGCAACAGGGACAAGCCATACAGTGCCTTTCTCAACTGGGCAAGAACCAGAGGAGGACACTCCAGTTCAAGGCTGCTGCAGAAGACATGATTGTGCTCTTTAGAGACTGGCAGGTGACTGAGGAGAGTGCTGAGCTTCTTACTCAGACAGAAGCAAACACCAAAGGTGGTGACCAGGTTGGGCTGACTCTAGGTAACCTTTGAAAGTGGATGAAGATTTTTCCAGCATCTTCCTTTTCAGTACCAGTTGCTGTCTCATAGGGTTCTCTCTTTTTATCCTTAGCCCAGTTCCCTCCGTTTTTCTCTGGCTATATAAAAAACCCCAAGATGCACTTAGGGGGCAATTTGTGTCTGGAGTTCTGAGCCCACCCCTAACTGTGTTGCCACTACTGTCAGTCTGAGTGCTGCACATGTCTTCTGCCCCTTCTTCCCTTCTGTCATCATTATAGTCTAGGTTATTCTTTCTATTTAGGCAAACCACTTTTAGCCAATTTTTACCATCAGGCCTGCCTAGAGGTCATCTGCCCTACCTACCCTTCTACAAGTGGAGTTGTCAATAACTTACAAATGTACAATTATTGAACAGAGAATATTGGGAAGCACAAAATTTTCTTAGAAGCTGCCTATGATTACTCTTGATTGCATTAAGAGAGAGAGAGATACAGGGACTTAACCTTGATAAATTGTCAAGCATTATTCCCTCTTCCCTCATTTCTAGCCCCCTCCCCTTAACTCTATTGAATTTGTAATGGCACAATCTTTCATTTCCCCAAATTGTATTATATAGGCAGAATACATATATTCTCTGGAATTGGAATTCCCATCTCATGACCTCGTTTGGCCAGAGGTTCAGCTATGATTTTCCTCAAAGTTCACATCCCCCTGCAGGACCCATAACCTTCCTATTATTGCAATCTATTGCACATGGACGTTATACAGAACCGAGTTTAAATCAAAAAAGGATACCAGGAAAACATTTTTTAAAAGCTTCCTTATCCATGCTTGTCAGCTTGAAAACAGAATACTGCATTTATATTTTTCCATTGCTGTCTTAAATCTTTTGTGCAGGGAGATGAAGTATAAATAAATGAACACATTGGTAAATCTTCATTTTGAGGCAGAGAATTGTGTAAGTTACCCCTTGCCTTAGCATATAAAGTTATTTCTATCAAACAATGTAGTTAATATGGAGAACACTAATGTATTTGATCTAGTCTGCACTAAAGTCACTAGGGAAAAAAAGATGATAGCACAAACCCTGACAGTTAAGATGTAGCCTGGAGTGCCTCTCTTTCTAGGGTCAGAATTGGCCTCAGAAGGAAAGCCAGGTTTTCAGCAAGGCAGGCCAAATGCATTTTCAGTAAGACCTGAGAACAGACATGAAACCCTGTTTTTCTGTGGTTGGGCTGATTTTATTCATCCATTCAATAAGTATTTATTGAGCACCTATTATTACACATGGTTCTTGGGCTCTCAAGTCCTTGAGTATGGTCTGTTACATAGCTTTATTATTTCTTTTTTTAATGTTTTTTATTGATTTTAGAAAGAGGACTGGAAAGACAAAGAGGGATAGAAATATCAAAACATCAATGATGAGAATTGATGATTGGCCACCTCTTGCACACCCTCTACTATGGATTGAGCCTGCAACCCGGGCATGTGCCCTGTCCTGGAGTCTAACCATGATTTCTTGGTTCATGGATCAATGCTCAGCCACTGACCCACACTGGTCAGGCTGGCTCTGTTATTTCTGTGTAGTTCAGCTTTTCTGCAAGGCTTCAACACTTTTGGTTGTGTTTTTGTTATATTCATCCCAGCAGTTTTTTCACCTCTATTGCATCACTGGGTAACTTAGCAGGCCCCTCATGGTTGGTTAAATGCAGATGTTCTGTGACTGAAACCAGAGCTTAGAAATGGCCCAAGTGACAGACCATGGGAAGGTGGCAGAACAGCAGCTGTGGGCTCAGGCTCCTGCCAGTTGGCAGCTGTTAACTCTCCCCTGGAAAACCAGGGAGAACCTGATGGTGCCAATCCAAGAGACGCCAGCCTCTGGAAAGAGATGTATTTTCTTTGCTATAACCTTGAATTGTGAATAATTATCCACAGTTGGCCAGTCAGCTCACATCCCCATGCACATATATTGTTGGCTTACTCAGGTGGTGGGTGGTGTCCTTTGTGCCTGCTAGCCTGGATGAAATGCCTCAAGTTGACTTGTTGATAGCAGTTTGTTGGCAGAGGCTGTGGGACTGTTGTCCTATGTGCAAGCCAGGGGTTTGATAATGGCCAGACTCCCAGGTGAGAATCCTTTACTCCTTATTGTTTTTCCATCTCCTTTCTTTGCTAATCCACCACAGACTTCCCCACAAAGACAAGTCAACAGTGATGTAAAGGGCAACCCTGAGTTGGCTGCAAATTACAACCAGAGTAATGTTTTAAAGTCTTCCTTGAGAACCTACCTTCTCTTCAAGCCAAATTTATGTGCTTAAAAAGTTTTTTAAAAGTTGGTGCCCTTTATTTTCCCTGAGTTTAAGTCTAAAGGTGCATAAGTATCTGTGCCTATTTGTGTGTGTGCTCTAGTATATGGGTATGTGTTTGCATGAGGAATTCATGTTGTAAGTGTGAAAAAGAAGGGCAGTTCAGCATAAAATAATAACAACCATGAAACAACAAAAGCACTGATGATGGAATAATGCTATTTGTAGCAGTTAGTTTTTGGTGTATAACAAATCAACCTCAGAGTTAGTGGCTTGAACCAACAGTCATTACTTGCTAAATATTTTGTGGCTTCTGCTTTGAGCTGACTCAATGGGACTGGATGGTCTAGAATGGACTCACTCAAATGTCTGGAGCCTCAGTGGGAATGGCTGCTACTGTTGGGATTGCTGGAGCCTCTCTGTCTACATAGTCCCTCATTCTCTAGTAGGTTATCCTGGGCTTCTTCACATGGTAATGGAAGTACTGCCAGCTGTAAGGAAGAGCAAGCCTCAATTTGTAAGTATTTTTCAAGCCTCTGTTTACATCATATTTGCCAATACCACATTGGCAAAATCAAGTCTACTGATCAAACTTGCAATTCAATGGGTGATGGTTGAATAAAAAGACTCAGTATCTTGAGAGGAGAAACTGCAAAGAATTTGTGGCCATTTCTTTATACTCTACTACACTGTGGATGGTGGCATAGGAAATAAGAACAGGATTTAGAGAACAACCAAATCACAGGTCATTTGCTTAATGGCTGAGTAACCTTAGATAATTAGCTCCCTTCTGAATCTCCACTGGATGAAAGATTCCATTTATACGTTTTTACCATATGCAAGTGCTATGCCTATGTGCTAGGCCCAGGCTATGGCAGGCATGAGATACATAGTAAATGTCATGGTCTCACCCTCATGGAGATGCCAATATAGTGAATATTATTTGCAAAAGTGTTTTTAAAACTACAAATCATGGTTCAAATTGTCAGTGCTATGTGTCACATGCTGATGGCTTCCTTTCTCCCCTTTTATCTCTTTGTGACATTTCCTCTGCCACCATTCCTGGTACAATTAGAATCATAAGGGTCCACCTTGCCTTAGCAGGTAGTAGCCTAATATTACAATGTTGTTGACAGAGTGTGGACTGGTTCCACACTGCTTTTGTGGGTCAATTCATGGGGAGGTGACCAATTTGTCCAGCCAGATTTCAGTGGTTTTCTGTTTGTATCTGTGCCTCCCTCTTACAATTTTAGCCTTTGTTTTCCCCCAATCCCCTCTCCTCCCCCTCTCTCTCTCTCACACACACTGACATACATCCACATACACCCCGCCAGGATTTTAATAGTTAGAAAAGGATAATGAATAGGGAAAGATGGGGTCTCTTGCTTCAATTGTTTTTTCTATTTTTTAATTGATCTTTATTATTGAAAGTACTACAGATGTCCCCTTTGTTTTTGTTTTTTGTCCCCCTTGACTCCTTCCACCCTGCATCCACCCTGCATCCACCCTGCCCAGGCTTTCACCACACTATTGTCTGTGTCCATGGGCTATGCATATCTATATCCTATATAATAAAAGAGAAACATGTAAATTGACCATCCCTCCACTACACTCACCAGCCAATCAGGAGTGAGTATGCAAATTAACCTGACAAAGATGGTGGGTTAATTTGCATACACAGGCACCGGGCAGAGAGCAGCGCAGGAGAGCTGGCGGCTTGGAGGACTTGGCAGAGTGGGAGGCCATGGGACAGAGACAGAGCAGGAAGGAAAAACCAAGAGCATGGGGAGCATCAGGAATTCTGGGAATAGTAGTTCTGGTGGCAGCCCCAGGACCGGAAGTGGAAGCCCAGAGCACAGGGAGTACCAGGAATGCTGGGAACCATAGTTCTGGTGTCAGACGGATCTCCTAGACCAGCGGTTCTCAACCTGTGGGTCGCGACCCCCCTTTGGGGGTCGAATGACCCTTTCACAGCAGTCGCCTAAGACCATCAAAAAACATATATATAATTACATATTGTTTTTGTGATTAATCACTGTGCTTTAATTATGTTCAATGTGTAACAGTGAAAATACATCTTGCATATCAGATATTTACATTATGATTCATAACAGTAGCAAAATTACAGTTATGAAGAAGCATCGAAAATAATTTGATGGTTGGGGGTCACCACAACATGAGGAACTGTATTAAAGGGTCGCGGCATGAGGAAGGTTGAGAACCACTGGCCTAGACACTAGAGCAAAGTGAGCCTGGAGCAAGTTACTGCTGCGGTGGGGGGTGGAGGGAAAGCAAAGGTGAGAGACATAAGTAAAATCAGAGTGTCTAGGAAAAATTAAAGGGAAGATATCCTAAAACTTCCAGGAACTCTCCACCAATGAAGCAAAGAAAAAAAATGCCTCTATTATTCTGTGAGCAACAAACCAAACTGGGTTTGGTGTCTCAGACAATTCGCTCATATGATTGCAAAGACAGACAGAAACTCCCAGATTGGAGAGGGCTACCCTGAGGGCTCCCAGATTGGAGAGGTGCAGGTCAAGCTGAGGGACCCCCACACCCCCCTGTGCACAAATGTTGTGCACCGGGCCTCTAAAATATATATATATATATATATGAAGAGGTAATATGCAAATTAGCCTGGGACGCCATAACGGGTCATGGCCAGACAGGAGGAGGTTGTGAGTGCAGGTGAGGCCCAGAATGGAGACGGAGACAGAGACAGGGTGTCCTGCCCAAGCTGGCATGGTGGCTCAGGCGGCCCTGGAGCAGACACAGGCAGGGAGGCCGGGGGATGCTGCGAGTGTCAGGCACGGGTCCCAGCCGCCTGCGGCACTGGTCTGGCCTAACTCCTGTGGTGGCTGGCGCTGCGCAAGTAAGACTCAGGGTCCCGGCCCCCCCGTGGGGTGCCTCCTTGCATGGTGGGAGGCGAGGCACCTCCTCGTGCAATTTCAATCGTGCCCTGGGCCTCTAGTATGCATATAAGTTCCCTGGTTAATGTCTCCCCACCCACCCACCCACCAATTGGTTTTTTGAACAAATTTTAAATTAATTGGCTGTTTTGTCTGTCTGGAGATTTTATTATGTGTAGAAAATACCAGAGCATCTAGAAAACTTTGAGTTGCAATTATGAAGCCTAACTAGAATCATGTATAACTACTTCTCAGCAGCACAGGCAGGATACCATGTCTTGGGGGGAAAAGACACTGATGATTTGGGCTGACCTTGTTGTACCCACTAGTTCATTGTTTCTCAGTCTCTAATATATGCATGAATCCCCTGGGCGGGGGGGGGAATTCATGTTAAAATACAGACTCTGATTCAATGGTCCTGGGTAGGGCCCAGGATTCTGCATTTATAACCAACTCTCAGGTGAAGCTTATGCTGCTAGCCAGCAGGCTCTAATTGGGGTAGAAAGGCATTCGGCTCCAAGTGCTTCAGGTAAACTTACCTGTGCCTCAGTTTCCTCCTCTGAAAAGTGGAGTGAATAATAATCTCTCTTGCAAAGGATTGTAGTATTTAATGCAGGCAAAACTTAAAGCAGTTTTAGTCAGGTAAAACTTAAAACATATATGGTAAGCACTCCATAAATGCTAGTTATCACTAGTATTAATCTTTTATGCTCTTGCATTTGTCTTTTTGAATTTTATACCAGCTTATACCTACAGGCTGCCACACATGCTCCTTACTGTGCAACTGGTTGAGCCAGGCTGCCAGCAATCCCTGCCTTTCCCACCTCACTGTAGCTCCTCCCCATATGTTCATGGGATAGTAGAATCTTAGATTTAGAGCGGGTTAGGTGGTCAGTTAGTTCCACCTAATATTAGGGACTTTATGGCATACTTGCCACCTACATAAGAGACCCAGACCTAGGGAGGGAGAAATAATATAGAGTCCTCCACAAGTAGAGACACAAAACACTTCCAAGCCAGCCCCTCTCTGCTCTCTTCTCATTTATGCTAGCCATGCTGGGGCATCCCAGGTAAATCCCTGTGCCCCAGGAAACTTTGCTTCCAACCTAGAAAACTCAAAGTTGTGGATCAGGTGTCTCTAAAGTGAGGCATAAGAACACCAATCGGTGTCAAGACAATCTGTTTGGGTGGAAGCAGAAAGTAATGAAACTCTATCATCTATCTATAGTCACCTAAAAAATAAAGAAATCAAGCAAAGCAAATATCACATGATTTCTATGTAAACCTACATCTATTAGTAAATGGACCTAAAATGTTTTACCATTAGGTGTGAAGGATCCAAACAGTTTAGAGATTGTGTCTAGAGACTACAAAGTTCACTCTTTCGTGGGTAAGAAGAAAAGTTCTCTCTGTGGGGTGACAATTGTGTTCACCATCCTTTCACTTTCTTCCCAGGAACCCAGAAAGGGGTCTTTTCCATCTCCCTTGCATTTATTAGAGATCATGTAACAAGTTCTGGCCTGTATAATGTGGGAGGAAGTGATTCACCTGGCACCCAGGCCTGGCTCCAAGGTTCCAGCAGAGGGTAGAGCCAACAGTGGAAGGTGCCTGGGTCTGACCTAAATGGGAGATGAGCTCCCAGAAAAGCAACCAACCTAGGAATACCAGTGATAGACTTTGTGTGGGCAGAAAATAATCATTCTTTGTTTTAAAGCATTGAGATTTTAGGGGTTTTGTTACTGCTACATATCCCAGCCATCCTGATTAACACAGGATAGAGCTCCCTCTTCTTTCCCAGCTCCATTGTCTCAATGGGCCAAAGACCTTCTTGATCCTGGTCATTTAACCTCTTAATACCTTCACTGCCAGTGATGTTGTAGCACAGAGTACAAACTCTGAAATCAGACTACCTGGATTCAAATTCCAGCTCTGACACTTATTAACAGTATAATCTTCTGAGAAGCTATTTAGCCTCTTTCTCACTTTATTTCCTCATCCCAAATAAGAAATAATATTAGCATTTTTTAAGGTTCTTAGAAGAATCAAATGGGAAAATCTTTGCAAAGTAAGTCAGCACAGTGCCTGACATAGTAAATGCTTAATAAATATTAATTTTTGGTAACTGCAAGGTTACTTTCCTTCTGCAACCATGAAGGCTTTATCAAAATAAAAACAAACAAACATGATTGTGTCACTCTTCCCCCACTGCCTTCTCCCAACCCCCAGCCTCCAGGCATGTGGAGTGGTAGAACTGGTCTGTCAGGAGTGTCCCTCTCAACCATCCCCAGTCCCCAATCCTGCAAATCAAAGATCAGTGGAAAATTTATGTAGGGCTTTTGCTACTCTGGTCTCTGTCTCTTGGCTGGACTAACAATATAATAATCAAGGCATACAATCCCAACAGAGGTTACCCTGCCTCTACTGGAGCTTTGTGAAGTATCCACTCTCATTATTAGGCAGACTTGTGGAGGAATTTTCTGTGTGCTAAGTGAAAATCCACCTTCTTCTTAACTCAGAATAAGCCTACCATTAGTTCAAGGCTTCTCAAACTGTAGCAAACATCAGAATTCCCTCGGAGGGCTTGTTATAAAAGAATGCTGGGTCCTAC